TATGAATCATGTTTCTAGCTTCTGTATACTTGATGCTTTAACGTCTGCCCTGCATGCATAGGCCAGACACACCTGTTTCTGGACAACCCAGTAATATGCCTGAGTTACCTTGCCTTAGCCAACTGCCTCCCTTGTCACCTTCTCCATCCCCCTCCAGGAGGAATCCACCCTAAGGTGTAATTTTTAAATACAAGTCAATAAATCCAGAGTCTATACCCCAACCACATCCCTTGTGGGGTTCTCATGCTCTGGGCCACTATGTACCCATCCTAAACACCCTAGGGCCAGGTACCAGGCAAGTAGGGGAAGCCTCTTTGCCCCACTAAATTATTTAAATTAGCCAATCCTAAACCTGTTCACCTGCCTCACCCATTTCTTCTTGCAGAAACCACAGTAAAACCTCTTGCCCACAGTTTCCCTTTCCATCTGCCTCATGACTAACCCAAGTGCTTCTCCATGTAGCCATCTTGGCATGATGTGTACTCTCTTTCTTGGAATTGTGAGTGCAATAAATGATTTCTTTGATGGCACTCTTACCATGTCTAAATAATAATAGTATTAAAACTACATTTTCCGGGTGCCTGGGTGGCTCAGTCGTTAAGCGTCTGCCTTCGGCTCAGGTCATAATCCCAGGGTCCTGGGATCGAGTCCCACATCGGGCTACCCGCTCAGCGGGAAGCCTGCTTCTCCCTCTCCCACTCCCCCTGCTTGTGTTCCTGTTCTCGCTGTCTCTCTCTGTCAAATAAATAAATAAAATCTTTAAAAAACAAAAACAAAAAACTACATTTTCCAGCAATCCTGGACTTGGATGTAGTAACCTGATGAGGTTACTTCCTGTTAGGGAATAAGTGAATAATTTCAATAAAGGCATGAACACCTTTTAAGTATGTAGAGATATTGGGCACTCAAAGGGGTGGACTATAGCAAACATTGTTGGTTTTCCACTCAACATCCATTACTCTCTCCTTTCAGGCAAAACACTAGTTTCATTCAGGTATTCATCTCTCTCTTCACTAACCCAAGGGATCATGACACTTTTCCTCCTCCAGGATTGAATTCCCTTTGGTCTGAGCCAGTCACAGTGGCTCTTTTCCTTTGCCAGTGAATGATTTAGGCCTGAGCAGGGATCCCAAGTATGGACAATAGGACATGAGATATTCTGGGGGGTTCTGGAAAATTTCCCCGACTGAAAAGAGGACACTGGTAGAAGTGGCCCTTTCTGTTGGACACTGCTGTGCTGATAAGAGTTGGAACCGCAGTAGTCATTTTACTCCTAGCAAACCTGAGGAAAAGGCCAATGGCAAGAAAGTGTAACAAAAGACTCACCAGAAAACGAAGCCAGAACAATAATGTGTCATGGTTGTAGCGTACTCTTCCTTTGGACTTCTTGATCTGTGAAATATTAAATTTTCTTATCATTTAAACCAGTTTGAGTCAGGGTCTTTTGTTACTTGCAGCCCAGAGCATCCCAGTGAATTTCCCTCCTTTTACTAAGAGTTAATAAGAAATGAAGTGTTCCAAGAGGTATCAGTCTGACTTATCTGAAACTTGTAAATGTGATCTTTCATCACGTAACTTGATATAATTTCATTGCATATGTAAAGCATGATTATTAAATAAAATTTTATTTGTTCACCTATATCATAAATTTTTGATTATAGGAAATTCTGTTTGTTCACTTAAGCTGCGTATGAACTCACTGGCCTTTTGTTGATTAATCCTCCACTACAAATCCTGGGTGAGTGTGCTTATCAAGGAGAATCTTCACTAGCTTCCACGGCTGTCAGGAATTAAGCTATTTCTGATAGCAGATCCAAACATTGTACAAAGCTTTGTTCTTGCACAATTTGCAAATTTCTCATATTTGAACCACATCTACTTCTTTGACACTGACTGTTGACTCATCAGATCACCACTGAAACATTCATGTGCTTTCTTCATTTGGATTTCTGATTCTGCGGCCCACTACCAAAAAACAAAACAAAAACCTAGATGCTCTAGATTCTTCTTCCACATTTAGTTAAACTAGTTCATGGCCAAGCTAAGTCAGGGCTGCTCCTGACAGACAATCTTTGAGGTAGTCTATTTCACACATTTATGGGATGCCTCACTGTGCTTGCCTGACAAAGCCACAAATCCCAGGGCGCCTGGGTGGCTCAGTTGGTTAAGCAACTGCCTTCAGCTCAGGTCATGATCTCAGGGTCCTGGGATCGAGGCCTGCATCGGGGTCCCTGCTCGGCGGGAAGCCTGCTTCTCCCTCTGACCCTCCCCCTGCTTGTGTTCCCTCTCTCGCTGTCTTTCTCTCTCTCTGTCAATTAAATAAATAAAATCTTTAAAAAAAAAAAAGCCACAAATCCCTACCTGCAGACCCTTTTCTTTCTAGTAACTATCCACTGCTCTTAAAATCCATCCAGGCTTAAAGAGGCAGCCATCTATTAAATTCAAGCTAATTTTTCACCATATTGCAAAGGCAAACATAGAGTATCTTCAGCTTTGAAATGGGGGGCAGGAAACTTGAAGAAATATGGTTCATTTTAGTTTAAAAATATTTTCATTAACTTTCAACAATCCATGAGAAAGGAGTAAATTGCTTTAAGCCTATTTTACATTAATATCATCAGAATTTGTATGATCAAAATACAAACTCAAATTCCATCCAGATTACATAAGTTGGGTAAAAATATATTAACCAAAATATCTAAATATTATTTAAATTGTGGTTTTATGAATGTGTCCATCATTCCAACTCTGTGGAGGACAGGCATCAATGTTTGATAATAAAGAACACTATCCATGTGAATATAAGAATATTCTGGGTCCATTTTATATTTATAAAGTCTGGAGAGAGATTTCAGGCACTGTCTTTTTAAAAAATCAGGAGCTGAAAAGCAGTAAGAATAAACTCCTCTTATATCCAGCAACACTGATGAACTTCATATTGTATTGAGGGAAACAAAAGCAGATGCAAAAGAATACAAACTGTATGATTCCATTTATATGATGTTTAAAAAGGTGGGCATTGGGAAAGAGAACCTTATGAGATGCTGAAGTGTTCTATACCTTCATCTAGATGATGGTTAAGTGGGTGTATATATCAGTCTGTACAGGTTAGATATAATTAATGCTGCCACATTGATGCACTTTACATACTTCACAATATATGTGCCCAATCAACCAATAAATTGCTCTTCGGTAGGGCATTAGGTAAACTTTGGTTAAATACTAATAAAACTTACCAATCTGTATCAACAGAATTGAAATTTCCTAACAGAAGAAACCATGTCTGTTTCACTTAGCACTGGACACCACCTCACTGTTGAAGAGTTTGAGTCATTCAGCCAGGTGACAGTGACAAGATAGAGGTTGGGATACCATATACTAGGAAATGAAGGGCCATGATAGAGTCTAACAAGTCTCTCCTCCCTGTCCTTTGCTGGTGGCAGGGAGTAACACCCTGTTTGAAGTAGGGCACATGGCACACAATATACGGAGGTTTTGGTCTTTAAGGACCGACATGCTCGTGAAAATGGCCTTTGGTCAGCCCATTTTGGGTAAAAGGCAGAGCCCAGATTTCTGCCCAAGAGAAAGCTACTCTGTAGAACAGTACGAAACAGATTGGGGGCTGACTGGGGGCTTTTGGGAGAATTGTCAAGATGAACCCCTCAGGCTGGCATTGAGTTTAAGAGGGACTATGGAGAGAAGTAAAATGTTCATGGAATTTTATTGTTGGCTGAATGATCTGTGTAGTAAAACCTCTTCATTTATTTCCTCTTCGCAAAGTCTGGTAAAATTTATGTTGTTCATTAATTTACAGAGCATATTTCTTTGTAGGAAAATGAACATAAATGCTGGGTCCTACTTTTAAGGTGAGCACTGATTGGAACTGTCTTGCTCCTTTTCGGCTGCTGTAACAGAATACTGTAAACTGGGTGTCTCATAAACAGAAATTGCTCACAGTTCAGGAAGCTGGGAAGTCCAAGATCAAGGCGCCAGCACATTCAATGTCTGGTAAGAGCCTGCTTCCTGGTTCATAGGAGGCCATCTTGTGTCCTCAAGCAGAAGGGGTGAGGAAGCTCTCTGGGTCTCTTTTACAAGGCACGAAGCCCATTTGAGAGAGCTCTTCCTTCCAAAGAGCCTGCCTCCAAATACCATCACACTGGGGGTTACGTTTCAACATATGATTTTGGGGAGGATGCAAACATTGTTTATACCAGAAGGCCAGACTACCTGTGCAGATGGCCAGTATCATTACCTTCACTTAGTCTGCCATGTTTTCAAGAATCCCTGAGGGACGAAGGGCACCAGGAGGACACAAAGAAAAAGGACAGTGGTACAAATCAAATAGGGTAGGCTCCAAGAAGCTCTTGGCCTGGACTGAAGATAGCCCATGTAGTCTAGGAAGCTCTCCTGTGTCATGGTAATACAGATGGGATATGTATGAACCTGCCAGGTTTCATAAGAAAGTTAACAGGGTTTCCTTCTTCATTCCTGATGGAATGTTGAGAACAAACCATAGCTTTCAAGTCCTGGTTCCTTTCTGGATTTATTTGCTAGTCTCTATCCTTTATCAAAATCTTTTTTTTTCTTTTCTTTTTCTCCAATTGTTCCAGCCTGGTCTTAGCTGGGCTAATTCAAGGGAAGAGGAAGTCTTGTTTCGAAGTTAAGCCAGAGAGCCGTTAACAAGGCAAGAGCACTTTCTTGTGGCTGAGCGGCAGGATAGCAAGAAATGTTAGCTCCTGGATCTACCCCAGGGGAGAAATGCCAGGAAATGATTTGTGGGTAGCATAAGCTTTGGAGTTCTCTTACCAGTAAGGTAGATCACATTTTCCTTAGATCATTTCTTTAGCGCCACAGGGTTACAGACCGTGAGGTCTGAAGTGCAAAGAAACTATTTTTTTTTAAATCATGAATGTATTTTCGCATGACTATCATATGCAATTTTGTTGTCACTAAAACCATCAGATATGTTAGAGTGGTATTTTTTTTTTTGCCTTAGTGTATGACAGGAAAACAATGTTTAAATCAATATAGGTAAAATAATCTCTACTAGCATTGTTTATCTGAAAGTGTTGCATAAACAATAGTAAGAGGAAGGACATTTAGTCTGTACTTTCAAATGGGGCTCGATCATTTACAAGTCGTTCACTGGCAGATTTTTTTCACCAAGTCTGTATAGATTATAATCTGTTTAATAAAAGATTAGAAACAATGAAGTTAGTTGTTTTTCCCTCTCCAGCATTTGCTTTAAGAGAAAAATCTTGAAATTGGTAGGGATTTCTGATGCCAGGAAATCATGAAATGTTAAGAGAATATTTAGCAATCAGGGTGGCTTAGCTCATGATAATCAGCATATGGACAATTACAATTTGCATTCCAGTTACTGAAGCTGAGAAAGCCTTGCTCAGGTTGAACATATGGTGAGTAGAAGATCTCTTTTTCTAAGAAATAAGATGGAGAGAGTCTTTGGAGAATGGCTTCACTGAATTGGTAAGTTAGCTTTCTCCGGATTTTGGTGATTTCCCCAGTTCTTCCGTAATTCCTCAGTGCTCTGGCCATTTTCTGGTAAGTCATGGTCTTCCGGTTGCCTTTTCTTTTCCCCCAAAGTTGGGCAAGTTTTTCTTTGTTTTTTGACACAAACTGAAAGATGCCTTTGGTTTTATCTACCCACTGAATACAAGATGCCATCTCAGGATTACACAGGGATTCATGAAGGTATTCGAACAGTCGGAGCTTCTTCCTGCCTAAAATTGAGAAAAAACAATGTCATACTCCACCCTTGCTACACACAAGGAAACATCCTCAGGAAGGGTTTGTTGAGTGACTACTAAATTCAAAGCTGCATTGGGACTTGAAAGTCAGAGGTCTGTTTGGCCTACTGAAGTTTCAGTCGGACCTTTCTTTGTTGGGGATGTTGTAAAAAATTTTGTACTGTCCTTCACTGGAAAAGGAAAGCCTGGTGCCTTTTTATCCGAGTCTGCCATCTGTCAGGTGGTCTTTCTTCACCATTAAATCTTGAACTACTAGTTCTATGTCATATGTTAGAACAACAAAACTGAGCAAAATGAACTGCAAAGTTTAGTGGTTTTAAATAAAGAGAAGCCTCAAAAGCCATTTTCAGAAAGCGAATCATTTGAAAGGGTTTTATTCAAATAGTCAAGTCAAATGAGGTAAGGAATGTGAAAGTATTTTATAAAATGCAAAATAGTATTCAAATATAAAGTAATATTAGTAAAATCAATAACAAAGACTTAAGTAAAAAAACTGTGAGTCTACATAGTTATGAGAAAAATAAAGAATAGAAAAAACTGGAGTGGAAATGCCACCTTCATTGCCATCTTCATGACATTTTGACATCATTTATGAGCAATGACAATGGGCATTGTGGTATTTTTCATTGCGGTGAAATAAAATGGTACTACCAGAGTTTTTATCTCTTTAGGAATACAGCCCTATATTTCAGAATGTCTAGACAGAAAACTTCAGGAGGATTTGTTGTGATTTTTGCTAAGTTGATTGGATGTCTTTGGCCTAACAGAGAACAAAGGGGACAGCCCATTTTGTGACTTCTGAATTGGCCTGTAAATATGATGCCTCACCAGATCTATCAGTAGCTAACACATTCATGGCCAAATTCCCTTTTCCCCTAGAGAGAGTGGAATAGTGGATTCCCAAACTGCTTTGAACAGTCTCTGGGGAGTAATACTCTTGCATCAGTCATCATTCATCCTAAAACCTCAAAGGTTTTTATCTTTTTGTGGTTATATTATCTCAAAATTAAAAATTGAGAAATGAAAGGGACTTACCAAAAAACACATCATGAATTAAAAGTCACAGCCTTAAACTTTGTCTCTTATCCGGTGGTCAAATCAATGGTAATGGATCCTCACCTTTTAAAATTTGTTTTCAGTTTTGAAAAAAAATATTTAAATTTTTATTAAAGTATGATGTGGGGCACCTAGGTGGCTCAGTTGTTAAGCATCTGCCTTCGGCTCAGGTCATGATGCCAGGGTCCTGGAATCAAGCCACACATTGGGCTCCCTTCTGCGGGGGAAGCCTGCTTCTCCCTCTCCCACTCCCCCTGCTTGTGTTCCCTCTCTCGCTGTCTCTCTGTCAAATAAATAAATAAAATCTTAAAAAAAAAAAGAAAGTATGATGTGCTCAGAGTAAAAGATTCAAACAAAAGCACAAAGTGAAAGTAAAATTCCAGTCTATTCTACATATTTTTAAAATTAAAAAAATTTGCATATAAACATACACATCCTTAAATACTAGTGGTGGGATGCCTGGGTGGCTCAGTTGGTTAAGCGTCTGCCTTCGGCTCAGGTAATGATCCCAGGGTCCTGGGATCGAGTCCCATATCAGGCCCCTTGCTCAGCAGGGAGCCTGCTTCTCCCTTTCTCTCCCTCTGCTTGGGCTCTGTCAAATAAATAAAATCTTTAAAAAAATAAAAATAAATAAAAATACCAGTGGTATCATATTATTTTGCAGTTTTTTTCAGTAAGTAATATGTCTTAAATCAGAGAATAATACAGAAATTAGCTATAGATGAGTAAAATACCCAGCTGTTTAAGTAACAACGGTTACTTCTGGGACATAACATGGGAATAAAGAAGGAACACTTCGACTTATTCTTCGTGAATTTCTGAATCCTTTGAACTTTTAATAAATAATGTGCATTATTACTTTTAAATCATGGAATTAAAAAGGATTAAAACAATTTACTTTAGAGTTTTTTGGGGTTTTTTTTAGATTTTATTTATTTGACAGAGAGAGAGCACAAGCGGGGGAGCAGCAGGCAGAGGGAGAGGGGGAAGCAGGCTCCTCGCCAAGCATGAGCCTGATGCGGGACTCGATTCCAGGACCCCGGGATCATGACCCAAGCTGAAGGCAGCCGCTTAACCGACTGAGCCACACAGGCGCCCTAAAGTTCTTTCTTTACCAACACATTAAGATACGCCTTCTTGCCTTTTAACAGCTATGTGTTCTGTTTTATGCATGTACTATTTTTCTCTGGATAATGAATCCCCAAATAATTTTGAAATTTCATTCTGTTTCAAATGTATCCCTGTTTCAGGTGGAAGATGAAACTTTAAAAACAGAAAATGGTGGATGATATGGCCCATACTGGCAAAGCTTTACAACATAAAACATCAATGAAAAGATAGAGACTATACATCCTGGAGTTTAAAGTTAAAAAAAATAATAATAATAGTGACAAGCTAAACACCTGGACTGAGGTAGAAGTGTTATTCTCCTTATATTAAATTACTACTAGTAATAGTTCAATATTCAATACCAATATTCAGTGATACGGATTTATTTTACGTGTGTGGTTTTATGCAGTATTCTTTGCTGGATTAGATTATTGCTGAATATTTAGAATTTTGTTCTAGGATACAGTATTCTAGGATGCAGATATAGGAACAAAACTAGTTTTCAAAAAAATATTCATTGAAAATAATTTAGAAACTATGATATGAAAAAAATTTCATTGTAAAATTATGATGCATCTTACACATCTCTGTACCTTATACACAGACAGATGCAGTAGGTAAGTTCCATTCTTTTCCTTCAACAAACAACATTGCAAGGAACATCCTAATGTGTATAGTATACACACACACACCCCCTATTGGTCTCTTGAGAAATTATCCAGTGCCAGTTGTCAGGCTATGAGTGTAATGCTTTACATTGACTTTCTCATTTAATTTTTACAGCAATCTTACAATGTTTGTACAATTATCATTATTTGTTCTTTGAATGAGGACACTGTGGTACAAAAGGTTAAGTGATTTTCCCAGCCTTGCACAATTAATCCAGAGTTCACACTCAGTCACTCAGTTATATAGTCCCTAAGAGTCAAAAGATACAAACATTTAAGTCTTTGTTAGTTATTGCCAAATTGCCTTACAAAACTTTGTACCAATTTATACACTCCCTCCAATAGCACATGTGCACACGTGTGGCCCACAACATAGCCATCAGAGGCTACCATCCTGTTTTACCACTTTGTCCATCTGTTAGGTGAGATCACCATCACCTTCAATTTATGAAATCAAGATTTCAAATTTATGAAATATTGAAATTATTAGGAAACTTCATTTGCAGGAAACTTAAATGGAGAGACAACTTCTATACTAAGGCCTTCATGATTAGGGTAGGACTGCTAAAACAACTTATGGAAAAGTTCCCCTTTCTATACCCCAAATATAGACACATTATTCCTGAATACAGATTTATTTGAGTGAAGTGATACTTTGCAGCTTCACATTTCTACGAAGCAATAAGTAGTCTCACTCAAGATGAATGGCTTGGAGTGGTTCAGTCTGTCAGAGGTCAATTATTCTTAATCACAATACTATAATATTTTGCAAATGCAGTTCTAAACTCAGATATGAAATCCCTTTAAAGTTGATTTGAAGAAGATTTGTTTCTTTTACCTATAAAAAAAGTGATGGATCCACATACCTTTTCCTCCCTTTTGATGGAGAACAGCAGGTTGTACCAGTTGGTTTTCAGGGATATTTGGCAGAGATGGATGAGTATTTCCTTCAAAATAGAGGTCCGCAGCACTGTTCTATATAAATAATGCAGCAGGATGTTAAATGGGACTTTCCATGTGGCCCCCAGTTGATGGCTAAAGTCAAAAGCTGAGGACAAAAAGAGTGCTAAGCATCTCCCAAATTCTAAAAAGCATAATCCTCAACTGCAGCCAGATATCTCCCAGGGCAGAACCAGCCTCAAACCCACATAAAGAGAGGACCAAGGGATGGAAGGTACTCTTTGGCTTTGTGAAGACTTTCATATCATCCCTTCCCTATAAGAAAGAAGAGGGGGTTGCTTCCTTCCTTCTCCCTAAAAATACCAGGAAGAAAAATTTTAAAGAATTATCAGTACAAAATTGAAGTGCCAGCAAAAAGGGGAAGATGAGCTTCCATTCCTCTGTTGGATGCCCACCTGGGCAAGAGGAGACAAGAGGAGAAAGACGACAGCCAAGGGAGGGCAGAGCCAAGAGAGGGGACAGGAGGAAGCAGCTGTTACCATTACATATGGCAAGGATATGTCTCCATGGGTTAATTCGACAAAGATTGACTTGAGCCACCTTACCATACCCCATAAGAGACTTCCCAGCAGGCAAGGAGTGCCCCCAGCCACAAGAGGCTGTGATATATACTGGGGAGTGGGAGTTGAAGGGGAAGCAGGGTTGCCAGATTTCGCAAATAAAAATATTCACATGCTGTATTTTACCTGGCAACCCTAAGTGAGGTAGAAGAGGTTAAGCTGGAACCCAAATTCCCTGTTCAAAGAAATGTCTTGTGGAGAGGCCCTAACAGAACAATTTAGAGGGTCAGGGAAAGGACATTTGACATAGCATAATGACTGGAAAAAAAAAAAAAAGAAAAAAGAAAAAACATTTCATATTTACACCACACCACATTAAGACAGCCGGCATTAAGAAAACAATACAGGGGCGCCTGGGTGGTGCAGTCCATTAAGCGTCTTACTCTTGGGTTTTGGCTCAGGTCATGATCTCAGGATCATGGGATCGAGCCCTGTATCAGACTCTGCGCTGAGCGCAGAGCCTGCTTAAGTTTCTCTCTTCTTCTCCCTCTGCCCCTTGCCCCACTCACTCACTCTCTCTCAAATAAAGAAATAAATCTTTTAAAAAAGGCAAAAGAAAATAATACAAAAGAACACATGGAGAGATAGATGGTGGGGACACTTTGTCTGCAGGGAGCTATAACAATATCCATGAGTTGGTCCAAGACATGTAGCTAGCTCTGAGTTTGGGAAGGGAAACACAGCAGGTTAATACAAGACTGTAGGTAAAGCCAGTGCAGGGGAAGTTTGGGCTTTGCCCTATGGCTTATAGGGGAACCATACTTTTTTGCAATTTTCCAGGTGGACGAGAAGCAGTAATGTGAGAACCCTAAAAACACATCTTTCTTGAAGTCATTCAAACCCTCTGATGCTGGATGGAGAGCAATGACGGAGGGCAGTTTCCTTCTTGACAGCCTTGCTGAGATCACCCATGTTGACTGTAAAATTCACAGCATTGATGTCTGTGAGTGTTCTCACAGTCACCACTGCCTCTAAGCTGGGTTTCAGCAAGCATACACCAAGTGGAAGGCAGGTGTGAATAGGGAATTTGCCTGTTACTGGGAGATTGGTCTACTGGTACATGTACTCACTATTACTGTTCTCCAATTATAGACAGGTTCCTCTGTAGGCAGCACACCATAGCAGTTGGAATTTCCTCTGACATGAGAGCAGTGGTTGATGAAAGCCAGGTAATTTTTGTAATCTAATTTAAAAACAGAAAAAGAAAACTCCAAAAGTCAAAGTTTATAATTGCATGTGTATGTATGTTTATATATGCATATAAGCTTATATGTGTGGTTGCTTCATCATGTGTTCTCTATCACTTTGCATTTCCCTACATTTATTGCATTATACTGGTATCTTTTACATATCCCATTTCCCTTACTGGAGCACATGTTCCTTGCAAGCAGAGATCCCATGATTTCTTTTATCTTGGAACTTCCTGAAATACCCTGTATAAATTCAATAGGCAAGATACCTGTGTTTCACCTACACTATCTTTCCACAGTCTACAGGGCAATGGGTGAGGAATAAGAATATTTACTCTCAAAAGAAAAGAATGTTCTTCTGAGTAGAATATCTCTTGTATGGAAGGTCTATAAGATAAATTAGAATAACCGAAAAGCCCACTCTGAACAGTTAAAATTTTCTATTAGATAAATATCAACCAGATATGCTTAATAGCAAATAATTTTATGTGCTAGTATTCCTATGTGGAATGTCATTCTCTATACTCTTGCATTTTCGTATGTGACACTTTAAATTTACGTAGGTTAGGTAACCCTGGAAGCTTTTTGCCTTTGTTAGAATAAATCCTAGATGCACTAGATTAAAATGGTCTTCTCTGTTCTGATAATTATTCTTATGTCTGTGTGACCAAGAAGCCATTTGATTACCACTAAAAGAAGGGGACTGACATCGTTACCTGGAGAGTACTGAAGATCTCCGGTTGAATGTTGCCTCAGCACCTCAAAAGCATCTTCAAAGGCTTGTCCCAGCTTGTCTTGTTCAACACAGGACTGCTACAATGGCAGAACCCTCAAGTTATGAAATTATCAATTGAACTTAATCTTTCTGATATAAAGGAGGGTTTCTCACCCACGACACTATTGACACGTAGGGTTGGCTAAGTCTTTGATACGGAGGGCTGTCCTGTGCATTGTAGAAAATCTAGCAGCATCCCTGGTCTCTACCCACTCACTGGATGCCAGCAGCACTCTCAACCCTGGTTGAGATCCACTGCTCTATAATATACAGTATTTAGAGAACAGTATTCATGCTATGGTATAGTATTTAACATTCTCATAAATTTTAGTAAGGAGTTGTATAGCAGGAGACTGATTTGGAAAGAAGGATCAAGGAAATATCTTTAATGAAACAATCTGAATCACTGCTTAAAATGGAATGCTCTTAATTTCAAAAGTATGTCCCCAAGATGTAAAATTAAACTGTTTTTTTTTAAAGATTTTATTTATGTATTTGAGACCCAGAGAAAGAGTGTGAGCGGGGAGGGACAAAGGGGGGAGGAAGAATCTGAAGCAGACTCCATACTGAGCATGGAGCCTGATGTGGGGCTGGATCCCACCACCGTGAGACCATGACCTAAGCTAAAACCAGGAGTCGGACCCTTAACAGACTGAGCCACCCAGCTGGTGCCCCCAAATTAAACTGTTTTGCAAACCATTTCATGCCCTTATAATCTAATCCATATATTTTCCAAAATGGAGGATATTCATCCTTCAAAGAGGATGCTCATCCTCCAAAGAAGATTTTAAAATGCCAAACTTACCATGCTTCATTAATATATTGACAATTCTGAAAAAGACTAATAAATAAACAAAATTAATAGTGTATTTAATTTGCCTCTGAATTAAAAGATCTTACTCAAAGTATTTTCTGAAAATACCTTGTATGAATCAAAAGTACCATCTGAAGTCTCTTTAATGAGTACACATTTTTCTTCTTATAAAATTGCCTACAAACTTTTTTTTGCTTTTCTATTATTACAAAACTTTTTAAATGTTAAAATAGCTAAATAGAGTTAATTACCTAAACTGCTTAACTTATAAGAGAATATAAAAATAACTCAGGAGAAACACTTAAGTATTTCAAAATTCTTTTAAAGATTTAAAGTATTTAAGGGGCGCCTGGCTGGCTGAGTCAGTAGAGCATGTGACTCTTGATCTCGGGGTTGTGAGTTTGAACCCCACATTGGATGTAAAAATTACTTAAAAATAAAATCTTAAAAACAAAAGAAAGTATTTAAAAATTCTGAAAATCAGAATCCTTTTTACCTTAGCATAGCTCTCCATTTACATCGGTGATTTTTTTTTCCCCCAATCTTTCTGGTGTCAGCCTACTGAGAATCTGGTGAAAGATAGGCTTTTTCTCCCTTGAAATGTAAATCTACATTACAAATAAAATTTACCCTGTAAAACCCATCCATTGACTTTTTAATGTCCTAGGATAAGAACCCCGGTCTACTTTCTTATCCATGTAAGTTAGATTTTGTTTTAAATAAACAGTGATTAAAAAAAACATTAAATGGTTTTTAAAAGATTTAAGCTCTATAGAACTAAAAACAAACAAACAAATTTACATAACAAGAAAGAGCATGTGGGGGGTCCAGCATTGCTTATCATTTTATTTAGCACAAGCAACTCTGTTTACAAGTTATCATTTACCCTGCAGTGAGTTTACTCGTTAACACTGTAGAATACAGAGATGATATAATCTAACACATTATTATACATATCCATCAATATAATAATTACATCAATATAGTATGTCAGACACTGAAATTCTATTCTGCTCTTCAAAATCACTATGCCATGTCAGTTGGAATAAAATATGAGGAAAAAAATCCCTAAAAAAGGTAAAAGTAATTATGTAAGGTGATGGAAGTGTTAACTAATCTTATTGTGGTTATCATTTCATAATATATTCGTATGTCAAATCATCACATTTCCCACCTTAAACTTATAATTATATCTCAAAAAAGCTGGAAGACAGCTTTCCCCTGTGAGAGATGAACATTTTAGCAAAAACTTTAAAGAAAAAAAAAGAAAACCCATAAATCATGCCTGGGCTATGATCCCTAATGATTATCATCAGTATATGTATTTTTAAAAAGCCATGTCAATGACTTTCAATTAACTATGCCTCAACTCATAAGCACCAAAGCAAATACATGAGTGTTGTACTTTGAATCAAATACTTAAATGACTTTAACTAAAATACTCCACAAAATTAGCACAACAATCACAACTCTTAAAAGTAGCAAACCCAAAGGGAAGAAAAAAGCTCAAAAACGCTATTGATCACTTCAATTGCGTAATATTTCTTGTATCTGAACAATCAATATGAGAAACATTCTTTAGGGCAAAGGAGAAAATTATCACAAGGTATTTTGAAAAACAGAAGCTAAACACTTACCAGGAAGACACTTCAACCCTTTACAAAGATGTTTCATTAATATCAGAATCGTTAAAACAGAACTGTCAAGAACTCACTGGCAGAGTTGCATTAAATAGCTGTTTTTAAGGAAGTGCTACAAAAGGGGATTTTTTTAAAAGATACAGTGTACTCATGATTTCTATTTCACGATACAGCCAATGGACAACAGGGGCTATTATTTTGAAGAGACACGTTGAAGTTTATATCCCGTGGGCCAAAAGCATCCAAACAAACCCCATGAATCCCCCGCCCAGCCTAAATTGCAGTGCCTCTGGCCCCCCACAGACACACTGGAAACCTCTGACCTGCACAACTCTTGTTCATCCCTTTTTTGTTCCTGTTTTTCCCCCGATTCTAGACCCTCTATTGCCTTTCTTGCCTGAACTGTAAACAACCTTCACTCTGGCCTTCCAATTTTGGACTCTTTCCTCTCAAACCACTTCGCTCCTACTTATCGCCTTACTTAGAGATCTTAAAGGTGCAGGCTTTTGTCCTGGCATTCGAGGCTCCTCATCCCAACCTTAGCCTTATTTACCACCATTCATTTAGGAGCAGGAAATGGAATCCATTGCTATGGTCTTCCCTCCATACCTAAATCCAGCAGAGGTTCCCAGTCAAGAATGACTCATGCGTGGTGATCCAGGATACACTTGAAGCTGCTGATCTGCAGAGAGGTCCAGTTCTCTTATTTAGCTATAAGTTCTACTGGAGATGGATTTTGGTGGCTCTGATGGAAATCATGTGGTGCACCCTCCACCTATAATGCTTCCTTCCCAGTCCCTTTACCTGCCCAGTTGCCCATTCCATTTTACCTGTCTATCAGAGTCTGATCTAGTATCCACATGTAGCAACCAGAAATAACTTTTCCCTTCTGAAACACGTGTCTGAACCAACCTTACCTAACTGCAAACTTCTACCATTTTAATAGATACCACATTTTGCCAGGGGGAAAACCACCTAAGAATTTTTTGTAAACCTTTTGGGTGGGGAGAGAGATTTTCTGTTTTGCATTGTTGGAATCTGAGCTCACCTTTGATACGGGACTATTGTTCTAGACCATTTACTTTTTGGACCCAATTTGTTATGCAAATGTAAACACACATCCCCTCTTCTAAAATGTAGATGTTATAGTAACGACCATATAAAACTGTAATCACTAGTGTTGATGAGGTTTTAATCTGTACCATTTCCATGTCTACGCCCTCCGCTTTGTTCCGTTCGATTCATTTATTTAACAAGTATGTATTTCTGAGCTTTTTATCTCTACTGGACACTGTCCAGTGTCCTGGGACTATAACCCTGAACAAGTTCTAATGAGGAGAAATGATTTTTTTTTAAAGCAAACTACTCAAGCGTTAGATAATGAATACTAAGAAAATGATAAGAGAAAGGTGACAGGGAGAGAGTATGGAGTCATGATGAATGGTCACGAAAATTCTCTGAGGAGGGAATGTGTGTGTGAGCTGAAATCTAACAATAAGAAAGAGTGAGCAAAAGAAATGCAGGGATGCAAAGAACCAGGGAAGTAGCTCCTGGCAGAGGAAGCAACAGGTGTAAAGAACCTTAAATAGAAATGAGTGTGGTTTAGTCAAGGCATAGGAAGAAAGCCATGGGGGGCTCAAGCAAAATGAGCCTAGGGCCTGAGAGGCAAAGTTAGAAAGTAGGAGGGAGGATCCAGAACAACCCATACATCAAGCCAGAAGAACCAAAAAAATATTTCAGAAGAATCTAAAAATTGCATGCTTAGCCCCATTTTACAGATGAGAAATATAAACCTAGGCTCAAAAAGGCTTCATGATTTTTCCTAAGGTCCAATTGCAAGTGAGAGATAGGCTGGGCTGGATCTAGATTTGGGTCTAGATGTGGGAGATAGGCTGGGCTGGGTCTAGATTTGGGTAATTTCATGAACACACTCTCAACCAACATGCTGGAGCCCTGTGTCTGCAGGTTAGGTTCCATTTGACCAGGGTTCTCAGTCCGCATGGCAGCCTCTGTAGCACTCAACAGATACTTAGAGGAGTGCAGGCTTGGTACGTATTTGAAATGAATGGAAAAATAAGTGAACTTTTTTTTTTAAGATTTTATTTATTTATTTGACAGAGAGAGACACAGCGAGAGAGGGAATACAAGCAGTGGGAGTGGGAGAGGGAGAAGCAGGCTTCCTGGAGCCGAGCAGGGAGCCCGATGTGGGGCTCGATCCCAGGACCTGGAATCATGACCTGAGCCGAAGGTAGATGCTCAACGACTGAGCCACCCAGGCGCCCCATAAGTGAACTTTCTAAGCCAGGATTTTCCCAGCTGGTGTCTCCAGAGTTTTATTCTGCAAGATATTAATAAATGGACCCTTGAGTGGCAGCCAGGCTTGCTATGCAGAACTTCTTCAGCCAAGCTCAGTTTGTAGAGTAGGTGACTCTTGATCTTGGGGTTGAGTTCAAGCCCCACACTGGGGGGTAGATTATACTTAAAAAAAAAAAAATCTGGGCACCTGGGTAGTTCAGTCCGTTAAGCTCTTAGTTTCAGCTCAGGTCATGATCTCAGGATCATGAGATTGAGCCCCGTGCACTCAGTGTGGAATCTGCTTGACATTCTCCCTCTCCCTCTGCCTAAAATAAATAAAATAAATCTTAAAAAAAATCTTTAAGAACTTCTTCAGCCAAAGCAATGAGCACACTGATGTTTTTTTCTGACACAACCCAATATTACAGATGAGAAAACAGAAACATAGTTTTGTGTCCTTTGTAGGGCTAAGATATAAAAATGCTTTCAGCAACTTGAAAAGATGATGCAAGTCTTTTTAGCATTTTAGAGGTCAAAGCTTCTATTCCTTGAGAATCTACTGAAAGTTGTGAGTTCTGTCCCCATGAAAATGCTATCAGCACACATTATCAGGCAATCCTCCAAGTAGGGCCAACAGACTCCAGTTTAGGAACTCTTGCTATATTGTATTTTCAAAGCCTTCCTATTTAAGGTCTAAGTACTTTTTTTTTTAAGATTTTATTTATCCATCTGTGGGGGAGAGAGAGAGAGAACACAATTAGGGAGAGTGGCAGGCAGAGGGAAAAGCAGGCAAAGGGAGAAGCAGGCTCCCCACTGAGCAAGAAGCCCGATGTGGGACTCGATCCCAGGATCCTGGGATCATGACTTGAGCGGAAGGCAGACGCTCAACCGACTGAGCCACCCAGGCATCCCTAAGTACTGCTTCTTAAGACATTTATACCCAATAGACAAACACATACACAGAACATCTTTATCGAGGTAGACATCAACGATTCCCTCAACACCAGAAATGAGCTGAGTAACAGGGGCTCTAAAGAGAGGATTCCTGATGAAGTCTCTTTTGCAGAAGTTCATTGTCTTCAGTGGTAACTGAGATTATTTTAGAGAATCTTAAGCAACAGATGTTCTGGATTCTATATCATATGGTGCCAAGCTTCAGGTGGAAGATTGCATTTTCTGAGAATAGAGAGAATAGAGAGCTTCATATATATGTTTGTTTTTGTTTTTCGTGGTTTTTTTTTTTTGAGAAAGAGAGTAAAGTCCTCTGTTGGGCTCCATGCTGGACATGGAGCCTGCTTAAGATTATCTCTCTCCCTCTCCCTCAGCCCAACCACCAGCCCTCCAGCTCACATGTACACTCTCTCTTTCTAAAAGAAAGAAAAAAAAAAAAAGAATGTGGTGCATATATACAATGGAATATTACTCAGTCATAAAAAGAAAGAAATCTTGCCATTTGCACCAACATGAATGGATATAAAAGGTACAACTAAGTGAAATAATCAGAGAAAGATAAATACCATATGATTTCACTGATATGTGGAATTTAAGAAACAAAACAAATGAACAAAGGAAAAAAGAGACAAACCAAAAAACAGACTCTTAACTCTAGAGAACAAACTGATGGTTACAAGAGGAGAGGTGAGGAGGGGGCAGGGGTGAAATAGGTGAAGGGGATTAAAAGTACACTTATCATGATGAGCACTGAGTAGTATATATAATTGTTGAATCACTATATTGTACACAGTACACAGTTGACCCTTGAACAACACAGGTTTGAACTGTGCAGGTTCACCTATATACAGGTTTTTTTCTTTTATAAATATAGTACAGTGCTGTAAGTGTATTTTCTCTTCCTTATGATTTTCTTTTCTTTTTTTAAAGATTTTTATTTGACAGAGAGAGACACAGCCAGAGAGCGAGCACAAGCAGCGGGAACGGCAGGCAGAGGGAGAAGCAGGCTCCCTGCTGAGCAAGGACCCTGATGCGGGGCTCCATCCCAGGACCCCAGAATCATGACCTGAGCCGAAGGCAGATGCTTAAATGACTGAGCCACCCAGGTGTCCTCTCTGTGAGTTCTGATTCTGGTTCCATATCTCCTATCTGTGTAAACTGGGGCAACTTACTTAAACTTTCTGTTTCCTCTCTGTAAAATGCGGATAATGATTTTACTTACACATAGAGTTTTGGAAAATCTGAGGGAATCCATGTAATGTACTTTCGACTGTCCTGACATTTAATAAATGCTCAACAAGTGTTAGGTACTGCTTTATAATTATCCCCCTTCACTGATGAAGCAACAGAGGTTCCAGGAAGCTAAGTGCCTTTCTCAAGGTCACATGGCTAGTAAGTGGTAGAGGTGAAGGTTTTTCAAACCAGTTCTATCTGACTCCAATCGAAGACTTTTAACCATTCAACCAGACTTTGCTTCCTTATCTTTGGAGTGAAACTGAGACAAAATGAGAATGAGAATAAGAATTTGATAATGGCTCTAGAGAGGTTTTATTGAGATAGTGTGGAATAGTGGTAAACATATACTGTGGTAGCCGTGCCATCACCAAAACTGTGCACCTTCTACCACATTTGGGACCTGCAGCCTAGCTGGCAAGCAGCAGAGTCAGGACTCAATCCCAGATCTTCCCTTGCTGTATCTGGTGCCTCTTTCCAATAACCGGGTTGCACAAATATTCTCCATAGTCTCTATGTATTTACTGTAATTAATAGCTCCTATCAGTGTTCATACCAATGGAGGAAACTCCTTTGACATAAGAC